TATGTGAACGTAATGTGTGCAGACCATAGACTGTAAAAAAAAAACTATTTAAAAGAGCAAACGAATGAAACGTTTTTCCTGTTGGAAGTTATGTGAAGCAGTTGAAATTTACAATACAATATCAGGTCTCACAGAAACAGTAAATCCCTCTTTTGCAAAAACACTATGATGTGTCATTCAGACAATAATCACCCATACATATTTGAAAAATCTATTAATTTGTTAAAAACAAAACAAAACGGCTAATAAATGGGAAGTCGTGGCCTAATGGTTAGATTATGGTTATGATAATGGTTAATAACCCAAAGGTTGTGGGTTCGAATCTTGTACCGGCAGGGATTGTAGGTGGGGGGAGTGAATGTACAGCGCTCTCTCCCACCTTCAATACCACGACTGAGGTGCCCTTGAGCAAGGCACCGAACCCCCAACTGCTCCCCGGGCGCCGCAGCATAAATGGCTGCCCACTGCTCCGGGTGTGTGTGTGCACTTTGGATGGGTTAAATGCAGAGCACTAATTCCGAGTATGGGTCACCATACTTGGCCACATGTCACTTCACTTTTTATAAAAAACAGTTGACCCTCCCAATCCAAAATCCGGATGCTCTTAAGTGACCACTTCAGAAGGACCAGCGCATTATGCCTATGAGTGATCCAGAGATGTGAACCTGCTTCATCAGACCCATATAAAGAACATTTTGCAAACATTTAATATTCATTTCTATGATATAAATAAAATATGAATAATTTACTTTAAATTAAATTAATTACTTATTACTTAATTAAATGAATTAATGAACATAGCTATGATAATGACCAACAACATGGAGTTGTTTTCTTCATATTACAGCTATAAATAAAACCTGCTGTGTAATGCTCATTCTGTGCTAGCATTCTTCTCTTGTTTTGACTTCCATTGTCCTTTGTTTTGTTTTTTTTCTGTTTCTGTATTAATTTTTAGTCAGACCTGACCACAATTAATATCTGACATTTAAAATGTTTAATACATTTTAAAGTATAGCTTTAAACTGCAGTTGTTTTTTCTACATTCCATTCCCAGGAGACTCCATCCTATCCATAAACATCTACTGTAGTGTCTTCTTTTTTTTTTTGATCAGTAATTACAGGCATTCTAATTGAGTTTAAATACATGACCCTGGACACTTCCGTAGGACTTTTATAAGAACTTTCGGGGCTTTTTCGTGCTATGATGTGTCTGGCTTCGCATTGCCACACGCGTTGTAATGACCTTCTGCTGACTAATAATAACTCGTTTTATTTTTCGACATTATGATATGAAATTAAGGTATGTTTTCATAATTTATTCGAATCTGTCTCTAACAGATAAGCACTGCTTGTGCTGGGTGCACAGTTAGCATGTTAGCTTTTATAACATGTAATTCAATTCAGCGGCTTAACTTTAAACGGATCTGATTCGATCAGACAGCACTGCAATGACTGTCCTCGAACAAAGGTTTAATAATGTTTTTTTATGATTTGAATTGTAGGTAAAATGTTGAAAAGTATAATCGGACGTCACATCCTTCGTAACTTTGGGGTGAGTGAAACGTTTAACCCATAAGGTTTTGTTGCACTTTCTATTTTATTTGACCGTTTTTTTCCCCTTATGAGCAACAGTACTCTGTGTTACCTAATGGTAATAGACCTCCAACACGTGATGCATTTTCCGTTGTTTATGGGAATTCTCATAAATAATTGTTTTAACAGACATTTCTTTCCTCCATAATAACAGGGAAGGCAGTGGAGTGGCCTCCTGCAGGTGTCCAGCAAGTTTGCCTGTTTAGGGCAGCGGACCATTCACTCTTCAACACCGTTTACTAGAGGTTTATATGGACAGCTGCCGCCAAGACATATTGATGGTTCTGTTCTGGGAGCCCAGTCATTTCACTGGTCTGCACAGAGACTGAAGAAACGTCTTCAGGAAGAGAGTCCACCAAGAGAACTTGATTTGGTTCGTTATGACATGAGAGACCTGAAGAAAGCTCCAAATCCTGCCCTCTATCTTGGATTATCTGGTCTCATACTTTTTGTATCAGCTCCTCTACTTATGGCGGTCACAGAGCTGTACCTTCCTGAAGTTGCATTTGCTCAAGTTGCATACGGAGCGTCCATTGTTTCCTTTGTTGGTGGGGTACGCTGGGGTTTCGCCTTGCCTGCCGGGAGTCCAGCAAAACCTGACTGGCTCAATTTAGCCAACAGTGTGGTTCCCTCTCTGATTGCGTGGACAGCACTGCTTTTTTGCCATGACATTACGCAGTCTGCTGTGATTGTGATAATGGGGCTTGGGATAGCATTGCATTATGACCTGTCCCTCCTGCCCACATATCCCAGCTGGTTTAAAGGACTGAGGACCATCCTCACAGTTGTAGCCTTTTTCTCTTTGATGGGCACTATTGTCATTAAGCAGTATTATCCTGAGAAGAAGTATTTCTCTGATACATGAACTATGCACATTTGCATTGTCAATCCATTAATATTAAATGTTAAAAGTGTCATCGCTGATAAAGTTACACCATATTCTACATGTTTAACGGTGATTCCGGCTATTTTCAGTTTTAATTGCATTTAATTCCATTCTCTTCCTTTTTATAAAATATCAATTTTGTTTCTTGTTGTTCTTGTACGATTATTGTCCATACAGATATTATACTACAGTAGTGAATTCAAATTAAAATGGTTTTCCCTCACTTTTAATATGAATTTACATACTGTATCAGTTAGATTGTTTGTAGTAAAATACTGTAAAATAAAAAATATAGAACTGCATACTTAAAGTTTCAAATGTTAAAAGGTTTGAAATGAAAATCTGTATTGTATTTAACAAGTAAACTTTCGTTTTTCTGATTATTTCTCTTTGTTGTCTTATCTCTTAATGATTTTAGAAAAAACAAATTCTGTGTAATATGAATATGCTACTGAGAGTTTTCATTTTTAATGCTATTGCTTATTATTCTACATTACTTGATGGCAATTAATAAACTTTACAAAACTACACTTAAGGGGGCAGATGTGGCTTAATGGTTAGAGAGTCGGACTTGTAACCCAAAGGTTGCGTCAGGTCTGGCAGGAATTGTCTGTGGGGGGAGTGAATAACCAGTGCTCTCTTCCACCCTCAATACCATGACTGAGGTGAGACCCTTGAACAAGGCACATGGCTGCCCATTGCTCAGGGTGTGTGCGCGCAGTTGGATGGGTAAAATGCAGAGCACAAATTCCGAATATGGGTCAACATTAGGGGTGTGCGATATTGACAAAAAATTATATCTCGATACGCGCTAGTCTAGACTTCACGTAATGTATGCGTGCGCTCTGGGGATGTTTTGAATGGTTTTTGCAAAATACTCGATAATGACAAATCGCACATCGTTAAAACAACAATTACGATATTATCGCAGACGATATATATCGCACACCCCTAGTCACCATACTTGGCCACACAATCACACAATTTAAAGTAAGATCCACCAAAATGTACAGATTATTTTGCTACATGCTATTCCAAATTTATTGTATCTTTCGTGCTATTTTTTTCATGCTATGCCCTCCTACATAATTTTTCTGACACAAACCAAAAACGTATATATCTTATGGCTTAAATGAATGCTTCATCTGTTCAGCAATTCAGAATTCAGTGCTCCCTACATTAACTTGCAAATACTTCCCCGTCATCTCATTTCACAACCACATTCAATAACAAACATGGAGAATTTGCCATTGGGTATAATTTAATTAAAAATAAATAATATAAAGAAATCAAGAATGAAGAAATTAAGCCTGCTGCTCAGATTTGCTGAGCCTTCTTTTTCTCTCAGTATATCTCAATTAATTTGTTCACCTTGTACTGTGCCATCTTTCAACCTAAAATGATTGTGCAGAAGTAAAATGCAGTAATTGTTGTAAAATTTTGTACTTTCGTCTGCAGATGGCAGCAAAGACAAAGTTAAGTCGTTTTTCACCAAAACCGATCTTTTTATTTGCCCCTTCTAAACCATTGGATGAAACAACGTTCCCAGATCAGCCCTCAGTGTATATGCAATGCAAGACATACAGACTGAACTCAGATCAGCGCTCCAGTGTACTACTTCGATTCTGCTCGTACAGACTGAACTCAGATCAGCATTAGGCTCGCACCGACGGTCATTCACTTGATCCGAGCTTTAGGAAGCTGTTAGATTTCCTCCCAGAAGAAAACCAACGATATGTATGGCGAGTGATTCGTGAAATTTTATTCTTAATATTTTTTATGCAGCTACTATTCTGACAACCCCAAACTTCTAACGATTCAATTAGTAATTATGATGAACTTAAGAGATTGTAGACCACTCCCCACAACATATAAAGCAGCAATGAATTATCATTACCATTCACTGTTTTCCTAAACGTAAAACAATATCGCATATAGTCTGATATTTTGAGCTAATGTATTCACACATTGTATAGTCAGCTGTGTTAATTAAAATTCTTACCACCATCAAAAGTAAAAGCTCAGAATGACATATCCCAGAATATTATGTTTATAGATTATAATTATTAAATGTGTGTTTATATTTGAAGTTGATGTAAATAATTGTCAACATAACATAAAATTGCGACTTTGATGGTGTATAATTTGCAGTCATTAATCTCCAAGAGAAAGTGAATGAATTATTTTTTTAATTATTATGTTTGTAAACAGTACAGAGATTACATTAATGACATACAGCTTTGTATGCAATACACAATTTGTATCAAGGATATATTCAATGTCATCAGAACACAGGAAAGTAAAAGAAAAAAAGTGAATGATTGATAATAAGGATAACAAAGAAAATAAAAAAACCTAGAAAAAAAACATGAGGGTAAGATATTAATTTATTGTGGTGGCGACGTACTTCTCTACTGCGTTGGTGTCACGTGTCTGTGTTGCGACGTACTTATCTACGGCGTTGGTGTCACGTGTCTGTGTTACGACGTACCCCTTCTCACATGTAAAAGTACACGACTGTCGACTTCGGTAGGTTAGCCCCGGCATGATCCACTCGCCATAGACATGGACCAGCTCTGATTAGCAATTATTTTCGCCACCGAGCCGTTTCCCCTCACCGACGAGGTTGACGTTTGAAGAAGAGTGAGATTGGAGGAGAAAAGCGGAGCTTTGCCCCCGCAGGATGAGAAAAGCGGAGCTTTGCCCCCGCAGGATGATCTGTGTCAAAATACAGCTCGCGCGTCTATGGACCTGACTCACGAGACATGATGAACAGTTGAGCTCGAGCTGTGTTGTGGCGCCGCGCAAAGTATCTCGTCAGTCAGGCAGTTGACGGGATGAAGAAAAATCGTGTGTTTGTTTTTGTTATGGCTGAGAAAACTCCGGAATGCTAACGTATTAGTTTACAGAGAAGAGAGAAACTTGAAACTGCGGCTAACAAGTTGGAAACGCCGCGCTATTCAGCGTAATGGTGAACTGTCCTTATAATCTCACATTGACAGATACGAGCCCGGCGAGTATATTTACACATTGTTTTTAAACAGTTACGTAATTTTTTGTAAACCCGAAAGGCGTTTATTTTGCGGATGTTGTCAAACTTTATCAGCAAACAGCTAACGAGTTCCGCCGGTTGATTTGCCGCGCTAAAACCGCATAGTTCATGTAAAACTGAATACAAAACAGTATTGACTAGATAACTGACTGGCTATGATTCCAAAGCTGTCATGGCAACTCGGGTTGTTACTTAAGCTCGAGAGAGCAACACAAAACCCACGGTGTCGAAACTGCGCTCACCATTGATTCTGCCTTTGTGCTTGAGGAACAAAGTTGAGGAGAGGTTTGCTCACCATGTATCAGAGCAAAGCTTGTTTCACCATCTAAATGCACTGACCACCGGATTCTAACACCGATATATTACTATTGTAGCGTATTACTCAACCCCCATCCATCAGAATGAAGAGAACTGAGAGCAAAAACAAAAGGAAACTCTGCACCTTTGAGCAGCAGGAGAGCAGCACTGAAGGAAAAGACGAGGTGAGTGATCTTTCACTGGAAAGTTGATCCGTTTTAACACTGATACTTTGCATGTTTATTTTAATATGCAAGGTAAACGTCGCACTATACAAATGCAGACCTTAGATACTGGTGCATGTGACGCAGCTGCCCTGCAGAACGAGCGCAGTGCATGGATGCGGTCCATCCATAATGGATCAGTGCTTATAGATCAAGCACATTATGACAGTGAACATTTCTTGGAAAGATCACTTATCAAGTGATAATGTGAAGGCAGAGACATCCAGAGCAATAAGGCTTTTTTGTTTGTTTGTGCTTAGTTTGTTGCATAGAACTGAACTGATTGATGACTAGTACTCTATCTTCTTTATTTTATTTACATTTTGTAAGACTGGTTTGTTTATTTACATTATATTCCAGACTGATGGAATATTATTTTTTTTTAAAAACAACACCCCCCCCAGGACATCAGAGTGCACACAGGGTTTTGTGTGTTTTTATATTGTGTATAATTAACTTTGTACACGTTTGAGTAAGTTTATTATATTTGTTTTGCAAGAGTTTTATTGGCTCCTTGTTTTTAGTCTTGTGTGATCATTCATCAGGTGAGGGCAGAGTGACATTGGGAGGAAATAAAATGAGAGTACTGCTTCTTTGAAACAAGGACAAGTTTAGAGTTTCCTAATTTGGGGCACCAGTGCAGAAAAAAAACATTCTGATAAAATTGTTTTATTTATTTGAAAATGTCTTATTTGAATGCATTTTCTCCATTTGTAGAATCTATTAATTGTTAAATTAAATTATATGTATTTATTAATTTGGCAAATGCTTTTATCCAAAGTGTTTGTGATATATAACGAGCAATCACATAATATAAGTGATTCATCCTAGTGAGGCCGTAAAATGAGACGTGTTGCAAAATATTGTTCCAAGATTGTCCAGATAAGTACAGATTAGATTAAAGTGAGAAATTGTGAGATCATAGTAGAGGATTTTTTTTTCTCCCCATGTATCCAAATGCCTCAGCATTGCCTCTCTCAATCTTGTCTTTTCTGAGCAGTAGTCTGGTCAAGCATTTTTTGGTTTGTTTTTGAACTATCAAAAGGTCAATCTTGTGTTCACTCTGGTATTTTGGCAGGTTTTTGCCATCCCAGTCACATTGTAGTAACTAAGAGGAAGTCAACTTTACTATGACTGTTATGATTCAGTTAATGTTAAGTTTTTTTTAAACTGATGAGATCATCAAGGGAGTGGTGCTGTTCAGGTGAGCAGTAAGGTTTCTTTCTAACCTGACCCAGTTTGCAGGGTGACCCAGAGTACAGAGATCATCTTTTTTGGACTTTCTGTTAAGTAAAATCCTGTGTTTCAAAGTGTTTTTTTTTTTTTTTTTAAACAATGTTGCTTGGCTTTTTGTCTAAAAGTGCAAGTGGTTTAGGTTGCAACTTTCAAGACATGATGTATGTAGAGTACAGTAAACCTGACCAGTGTTCTTATTAGAGCCCGACCGATATGGGTTTTTTGGGGCCGATACCGATATTAGGGAGTTAGAGCCCGACCGATATGGGTTTTTTTGGGGCCGATACCGATATTTGGGAGTTAAAAAATATATTCTTTGTGTATATTATAGTACAGTACCAGTCAAATGTTTGGACACTTTCCCATTCGTGCGTCCAAACTTTTGACTGGTATATAGAATACAGTATATACATAAACAGAATATAAACACATTTTTTGCAATGATCACTCAAATGTGGTGATCAAACACTTATAATGACGTGACAAAGATATGTAATGGAGGCAGGGCATTTAACAATTTAACAATAAACATTATTATCCAAAATGAGTCTGACATCAGTGCACTGAACAGTAAAGTTGAAGTTCATTCAACTTTAATTCAATTAAATTCCATTCAACTTTATTCCTTTGAAGTTTATTTCACTTCGGAACATTCCTTCACGGATTTGGTCTTCACACACAGACGTAACTCACTAGAGAAGTGTGACATAATATACCTCTGTAAATAAATACAATATAAATTCACATCTCGCGCACTGTAATGCCCTTTGAATTTAACGTGTACGTTCCCTTGGAACTGGAATCATGGCGGAATTTCATGTGAAGTCCACTTCGCAGGGCACTTACGGTCAAATAAGACAGCGCTTGAATGCTGCTTCCTGAAAAAGAGACCTCCTTACTGAAGTGAAAGTGTTGACTGATGTCACTATTTCGCGAACACGCCGGCGGATCTCCACCAAATTCGGCGGATCCCTTCAGCTCAAGGAGCCCTCACGAATCCACTCTCCGCGCGTCGGTAGCCACCCGGGATCGCTTGATCAGTCGTGCCAGACAGCGAATTTAACCACCCCGTAACTCCCGAACCCCGGGGGCTATCGACGCAGGGGTGGTCTCATTCGAAAGCGGGCCTCTAGACCTACACTCGATTTGCGTTCGAGAAGGTTCCTCGAGCTGAAGGGATCCCCCGAATTTGGTGCGGATTAGCCACGCCGTTATGGAGATATGGCCGTACAAAGTTTCAATGCTTTTCCATAGACTTAAGCTTTAAAGCGTTTCATCCAGGTCACCAGCAGCAAACAATGGAGCGCGATCTGCTGGACAAACTAAGTAATTACACCATTTAAAGCATTTTATCTGCGTTATATGTTCTGTAAAAAAATTTCATATTGGCAGCATATTCGCCGATACTGATATATTGGCGACAGGCTCATATCAGCCGATAATATCGGCAAAACGATATATCAGTCGGGCTCTAGTTCTTATTAGGCTTGCCGCGATAGATGGTGCTAACGGTTATACCGGTGTTAAGCTGCAACACCGGTTACGTCACTTGCCCACCGCGGCACCGACCCCCACCGTCGTTTAGATTTTTTATAGTAATAAAAATCATTTAGTTCAGTAAAAGAACAGACACCACAATTAAAAACTGAATGCGGATGCTCAATGCAGCGTGCCGAACGACAGTCGCATCACAGATCAGATTTAATTTCTCCAGTGAGGAGAGTGAGTCGAGCTGACTGACAAGAAGAGTGAGGCGAGGTGAGACAGACAAGACGATCGCGGATGATTTAGTTTAGAAACGAAATGCAAAAATGCCTGTTTGGCAGTATTTTGGATTTTGAAAAGCCTGTTGACTTTTGCCGTTTATCTAAGGTGATTTTCGACGTTTTTTTTAAACATTCGTTTCTTATTTAATTGTTCCACAGTGTTTGCTGATTTTTACTTTATTTAAACTTTGTCATTTATTTATTTTATTTGACATCAAGGTGTATGCCGTGCCTCCAAGCTTT